AAATTATTTTATATCATAATATTTTAGTTATCTTGTGTAAAGACAGGTTACTAGAATAAATTCTGACATATTACTAGTATAAGTAAGCGTGAGATTTTGTGAGGAAAAATGAATTGTGAGAAATATTTTCTTCTTGGGTAACTATACAGATCCTGAGCCCCTATTAACTAATTCTTTTTACTTCTTGAGATTAGAGATTCAATTCCCATTAATAGCAGAAATGACTGTGTTTTCCCCACAGGTGGAATGTTCTGATGGATCACTGTTACGCCACCCCCTCTGGGAACCCTAATGATGAGATACGCTATGACCTTTTCTTTGGGTAATTTAGTATTTTCTGAAATTATGTGCGCATTAACTCGGTGAGTCCTCATTACCTGCTCAACTGACTACTATTCAATGCACAAAGGCCTTTTAGAGGAAATGATTTGTGTGTGTGTATGAGTGTGTGTGCGTTTGCGATAGTGTTTGTTTGGGTATGACTGAAGATAATCAGTTTATCAGCAGATCTGATGTTTAAAGAGGCCTTATTTTTGGTGGTGGGGGTTGAAATAGGTGCTACAAGGATCCACAGACAACTGTTTTTGAGAATGGAAAAAGTCAAATGGGCCGCTTTGCATTTGAAGCCTTCCGTTTTGTGAAACATAAGAACCAGAAGATGTCCACTGTGTTTCTGCATTGTGTGACAAAGCTGTGTCGAGCAGATGACTGTGGAATACTATTGCCGGTAAGCAGTCTAAATGCTGAAATATTTTATGGTTAATAATGTATTTTAGGTGTCATAACTGAATGAGAGCACTGACTGTAATACCTCTCGTGACAGATATGTGGAAATCGCAGGAGGAGAGACACCGTGGATGAACATGCAGTATCAGGTTCATCCTCAGGGGATGCCGTCATAACCGCTGGTCCCATAATCACTAGGAGTGGTAAGAGTCCTCAATCTCAGCTTTATAGTTTCATGCACTGAAAAAAAAGACTTACTGTATAAGTTTTTGTTGGTGTTATAAGTAAATGTAACTATTAATGGTATAAAAGTAAGTAAAATCTTGTGCTGCTTAATAATTTTCTGGGACTGTGTTAAAAAAAATTTCAGGATCCTTTAATGGATGGAAAGTTCAGCATTAATTTAAAATATAAATCTTTTGTAAATTTATTTAATGTCTTGGCCGAAGTATAAATAAAGAAAAAAATATTTGCGTTTTGAATTGTTGTGCATATACAAACATTGAATATATTTCCAACATATTTCCAACAGTCATATAAAGTATATATTTTCATTTTTGTGAGATAACATCAGCTTATAATATATGTTTGAGACACAAGAGATGCAGACAATCTCACAGACCTCAACATTTTGTACACAAGGAATGATAAAAAAAAAAATTGTGGCAACAGATTACAAGCAATATTATTCATTAAATTTAACAAATTAGAATTGAGTAATAATTAATCAAACTAATTCCTTAAAAGTTAATCATTTAAAATGAGTATAACTTACAAAAACAACAAACAAACAAAACAAAAAAAAACGTACATTTAAGTCACCATTATGGTGATCGGTGTTTATTTTAGGATTGTTTTAAAATTATGTTTTTTTCCTTCAGAAATTCTGCTTGTTAACATCAGGTGTCTTCAATTTTGGCAATATAATATAAATAGGTCTTAATTAATCTTTGACGTCTGTCTGTTATTCAGATATTTTTGTTCAATTTTGAGGTGTAAACTTTACTCATTTGAAATGGTTAACTTTTAAGGAATTAATTTGATAATTATTACTCAATTCCTATTTGTTAAATTTCATTAATAACATTGCTTGTAATCTGTTGCCACAATTTTATTGATTATATAAAGTGTATTAATTTTTACAGTGTAGGCCATAACATGTGTAAACGTTATATCCTTTTGATCTTCCTGGCGAAACCGGTCCAAGTCCTTCACATAAAACATCAAGCTACAGTCAGGGTCAAGGTCTCGTTTTAGTTGTTAAATTCATACATATAGCACCTTTAAATCATGAAATATTTAATGCTTTATTTTTGTACATCTTGTGTGTTTTCTGCAGATGAAACTCCAACCAACAATTCCTATCCTGGTAAGATTCTTTTTTAGGAGGTCAAGAAAGTGTAACTAGCCTGCTAAATGTTTTTCATTAGTAGACGTCACCACCCCCAGTATCAAATTCTGCAAATGAGATCCATGACAACCGTGGTACCCATTTACAGAACCATCTTGTCTGCGTTTTTGACCCCCATTCACCCCCACAAACCTCTGCTTACCCCCATTCACCCCTCTCTGTGCTTCTGCAGTGAGCAGTTCCTCCCAGCACCTGAATGCTGTAACCAGTGCCCTGATATCGGGTTTGGTTGTGCTGGGTGTGACGTGCTTGGGTCTCTTCATGCTCTCCCTCAGGCTGCTCAGGAAGCCCAGCCCTTCTAGTATGACAGGGGTCTGGAACCCCAGCTTCAGATGACCTTCATTCTTGGATCATGAGAGCATTGAATTCTGTCAACAATATTTGGTCATATTCCTATCATTGCATTTTATTCAGATCCTCAGTGCTGCTTTCTTATGTCCCAAAATTGGAATTGAACTGCTTTGACAAACATGTTTCCCTATTTGATAATATATTAATCTAATAGTGCCCAAAAATGTGTTGAAAACAGTCCTTATGCTTAATATTTCTTTGATGAACAGAGAATTCAAAAGAACAGCATTTGAAAGAAATCTTTTGTAACATTTTAAATGTCACTTTTGATCAATTCCTTGCAGAAGAAATTAATATGTTTTTCTTCTTTAAAAAAAAATCTTACTGATTCCAAAATGTTAGTGTGTATATATAAATGTACATTTTAAAATACCTCAGTTTGTTACTTTCTGTTTCAGGGTCTGTGATCCTTTATGTCTTGAAGTGCAGAGCACAAAATAAATGTAGATTGTTCACGATTGCAGACATTTTGCTTTATGATTTTTTGTTGATCTTATTTGGATCATATTATGATTGATGTTTTAAAGAGGTCTTAAAGAAATACTCCTGGTTAGATTAAGTAACACAAAATACAATATTGTGCAATGTTGTGCATTTTCTATTTTTCAGAGGGAAGAGGGAAGAAAACACCATTTCTGTTATAATAAACAGTTTTAGATTTTTTATTTTATGTTTGTTTGTTTGTTTTGTTTTTTTTTTTGCACAAGGTGCCATTATAATCTTTTTTACAATTATTTTACCTTTTTTATTCAAATTGTATAATGTACAACCTGAGATTTTGTCAACTGCTTGTAATGGACATTCTTAATATGTGATAATATAAAAATGTATCCAAATTTAGCTCATTTTTGGATAATTTATCTGCATTTTTATCAGTTTTCAACATATTCTTTGTGTACCTAATATTGCACAGCCTTTTTTTATTCAGCCACAAGAAATGACATTTTACGAATACACAAACCACCCATTTAATTCCCACAGTGCCACCATATAGATCTCCACAATCTGCATGATTTTTCAACATAATCCCAGATTACAGCCAGTCAAAATCCAGAAAATATCTGATCTAGTGCTTCCCCCTCTCTCTTCTTATCTTAACAAAACAAGAGCAAAGACCTCAGCTAACATATTTAACTGACTACATCAAGGCCAGCATCATATTATGATGAGGTCTGTAACATTTCCCATGGTTTTGTGTCGTTGACAATAGAAGAAGGTCAACACCCAACACTCTGATTTGACTCGAATCATAAAATTGTTGTCCTTCCCAGGTAGCTCAGCTGACAGGTTCATATTACAAGTCCATTGGTATTTTCGGTGATTTTTGTATTCCATTTTTACATTAAACCCAACCCAATTTATACCACCAATTGGCCAGACACCTTTGTGTCTGGCCTTGAGATTTCACCTCATTCGCTGTTGACATGCTATAGAGTGCACAACAAGAATCCAGAAATGATTTTGCAGTTTTGAAACTAGTATTTTTATGGAAACTTTACTATTCGAAATTATTCAGAATCACTTAGTGATTGTTAATTTGTAGGCTCAACGCTATCAAAATGAAAGTTAACCCGAAATTAAACAATTTGTCATCATTTACTCACCCTCAGGTTGTTGATTATTTTTTCCCAACATCTCAAAGTCTATATATTTTGAAGTATGTTTCAACTGGTTTTCTCCAAATATAATGAAAGTCAGTATACAGTCCAATGTTTGGACCCCATTGCCTTTCATTGGACAAAGAAAACAGAAAAAATATGTAAATTATCTTTTACTTAACTTACTGAGTTAATACTTAAGGGACTTTGTCCCTTTAAGCGAATAACAATAACAATCATAACAATCACAGTTGTGTCCTTTGCACTATAGAGTTCAACAGCCATGTAGCCAGATTAACAAAATATTTTTTATACCGGTTTTATATCTCCTTGGGATACGAAAACGTCGACGTTGGAAAGGTTCAAATTCTGGATAAACCATTCAAACCACTTCCATCTTGTTGACGCTTTCATAATTAATAATTACGTAATTACATAATTCTTTGACAATCAATGTCACAACTATAAAATAGGTTATTATGAAACATAAGTGACTTCATGCAGTGTCCATCAAGACTTTCAGGTAGCCTAACAAACCTAAAAGGTCAGAGGTTACACTGACAGACTTGTACTTTTAGGTCCAAAGTGAAGATGAGACCTATTGTGTGCTTCTTCAATGGAATTTGTACTTAGTTCATTAAATTACATGTTGATATGTTTCAGGATGTACAAAATGACAAAGACAGTGGTCATTGTTTATGGTCTAACTTTAAAGGTGATGTGTAAGGTTTCAAGTTTTGCCTCAAGCTAATGGCACCTTATCCACAAAAGTGAATTGTTCTGAAGATCTCGAACAACCATAAAAAATGGGAAATGACCTTTTTTCGTTCCAATCCAGCGGAAACTAACTTTTTTCAGCACACACACACACACACACACCTATAAAGCACCTATAAAACTGAAGCCTGTCAGAGTTAATCCAACAGTGACTTTGAGACGATAACGCATCTTTAGCAGTAAGGATCACTTCAGGAGCTCAAGATTTTCTCTGGAGTGCTGAGAGTCCTTTGAAGGTTATTTTTGGACATTGATATAGAGTAGATCTGACATGGCTCTACTCGGTCTATTGATTTTGGGCACGCTGGTTCAAGGCCACCTGGCTCTTACTGTTAGTGAGTGTGGAACTTCCCTCAGGCGTCCAGGTAATAGACATACCCTCCATTTTTGTCATTAATGATTATTGTGGGCTAATTGTTTTAAAACAAACTAAAATAATTGATCAGTGATATAAGAAATATCCTACATCAGGGAGCTTGTCTTTGTTTTACAGAGTACACCGACATCGCAGTGTATTGTGGGACTGAATCTATAAATTTGGCAATCCAGATTTGTCCGGTTATTTACACTGGCTATAACGAGTCCTTGTTGATTTTGAATCAAATGGCAAATGACCCGTTGTGTCGGGGAACAATGGATGCGACTGCGAATCCTCCGGTCGTGCGCTTCAGCTTTCCGCTTAGACAATTGGACGCCTGTGGCAGCATCTTCCACGTGAGTATTACTGCATCTTAAACTGCATTGATGATTAAGTCTTCCCTAAAAAAAAAGTTTCAACCAAACTGATCTTGCAGTCTGCCTGCAAATCATTGTGGTTACCAACAGGGGGCAGTGTTACTCCTACTCTCGTTAAAGGGATAGCTCACCCAAAAATGAAAATTCTGTCATCATTTACTCACCCTCAAGTTGTTCCAACCCTGTATAAATTAATTTCTTATGTTGAACAAAAAAATAAATGAATAAATAAAAGAAAATTGATGGACCCCATTGACTTCCATATGGTGGGAAAAATACAATGGAAGTCAATGGGGACCATCAAATGAGATTCTTCAAAATATCTTCTTTTGTGTTCAGCAGAACAAAGAAATTAATTCAGGTTTGGAACAACTTGAGGGTGAGTAAATGATGACAGAATTTTCATTTTTGGGTGAGCTATCTCTTTAAAAGCATAATTTTGTTGAATAGTATTCAAAACACGTTCTGTATTTCATTCTCTCTCTCTCTCTGTGCAAATCTTTTCTATTTTATTGCCTCACTTTATAGACCACCAGCGCTCCAGGCACCGGGATCTTCTCGGACTTCTCTAACATCCAAACGGTCAACATCAGTGGGGTGGTCAAATCTTTCGACCCCACAATAGGAACAGTTACCTACAACGCTGAGCTGAAGTATTTTTACTCCTGTGCATATCCACTCGAGTACCTGGTCAACAATACACAAGTTGATGTGTAAGATCTTTGAACTCTCTTAATAGATTAATCCTGATGAAATAATATTAATAAAAAATCTTAAACCAGCCATTTGGTCTCCCAGTCCAGTCCTTTTAGTCCAAATTCTGAGAATTTTGGAGTCTCAATCATGATGGCTTAGGACAGTTTACACATTTACATAAACATAAGGTTCAAAGACTAACTTTTGGACTGAAACACATACGTTCTGACATACACTAGGCCTACTGTTAAAATACTTTCATTCAGATGCATTAAATTGATCAAAAGTGTATTTTTATACTGATTAATAATGTTACAAATCATTTAAATTTCAAATAAATGCTGTTATTTTAATAATTTATTAATCAGAGAATCCTAGTTTAACTTTAAACGTATTGTTTCCATAAATATCTTAAGCAGAACAGCTGTTCTCAAACCTGTTGAAAAGAAATGTTTCTTGAGCAGCCAATCAGCATATTAGAATGATTTCTGTAGGATCATGTGACACTGATGCTGAAAAACCAGCTTTGCGTCACAGGAATCAATTTAACTCGAATATAATATAGTAAAGGAGAAAAAGGTTGTTTTAAATTTGAATAATATTTCACAATACCCTTTTAATGTATTTTTTAACCAAATGCAGCTTTACTGAGCATGAGACAAAATCGTACAGACTCCAAACTTTTAAACAGTAGTGTATACAGTATTAAACATGAGAATATGCAGCTTGTTGACAGTCTTAACTGAATAATTATTATAACCAAATGTTAGATTCCAAGAAAACTAGAAGGATGTCGTCCTTGTAACATGGAAACTTTCCTCCCTCTACAGGTCTTCCTCCTCCATTGCAGTGAAGGACAACAACGGAAGCTTCATCAGCACTTTAAGCATGCAGCTCTTCAAAGTACAAACACAATGAGGGAAAACTTTTCCCGATTTCAAAAACCTGTAGCTTTTTCTATTCTCCGTCAGTTTTCTGTTCCTGAACCCGTATTTGAATTGTGCCCCTAGGATATAAACTACACTACTCCGCTCATTATCCCATCCGTGGGCATTGAGCTCAGAACCAATATCTACGTGCAAGTCATAGCAGCAAACTTGACTTCACAGTGAGTAACATTTGCTGACGTTTATTCTAAGAAATGCCTCTGTTTATGTAGAAATTGACTGATTCCGTCCTCCTTCTCCACAGGTATCATGTTCTGCTGGATCGATGCTATGCCTCTCTCTCAGCTCTACCCTCCAATTCAACCTTTTTCAATCTCTTTGTCCCGTAAGTCCAGAAATAGGGCAAAAAGTCATGTTAAAATGTAAATTATATTTGCCAAATTAAGCTTATCTAAAAAGGCTGGGTTGTTTTAACCCAATTTTGGGTCAAATATGGACAAACCCAGCCATTGGGTTACATTTTTAAATCACATTTTTAACCCAATGTTTGAGTTTGTCCATATTTGAACCAAAATTGGGTTAAAACAACCCAGCATTTTTTAGAGTCTAAGAATATTTCATTAATTAGAAGTGTAAAAAAAACCTGGTCAAAACCTGACGTCCTGCACTGTAAGAAAAAAATCCTTAGAAAAAATAAGAACATAAAAAAAAAAAAAACGGAAAAGCTACAGGAAATGTTCTTTATCATTCACTCTAAAAAAAATGCTAGGTTGTTTCAACCCAACTTTGGCTCAAATGTGGACAAACCCAGCCGTTGGGTTAATTTTTTTATAAAGAGTTTAACCCAACGTTCAGGTTTGTCCATATTTGACCTAAAATTGGGTTAAAACAACCCATCATTTTATTAGAGTGATTATTATACAGACATTTCCTTCAACCCTAAAACACAACGGAAAATTCTTTCTTATTAACAGTGCATTGGGCCCTATTTGTACAGGCTTTACATAGAGTGTGAAACATGAGATTTAGCTTTTTTCAAAAGGTGCTCGAAGGATCTGTTCACCACTATGTTGGAGAATGGAAACAGTCAGAGGGCTCGCTTCAGCTTCCCAGCTTTCCGCTTTATCGAGCAGCAGAACCAGACCATTTCCACCTACTTCCTCCACTGCATCACCAGGCTTTGTGAAACCAGCACCTGCGCCACGTTCAAGGTACTAGCTCTCAGTTAACTGAATAAATACATTGTTCAAATAGGGATAAGTGTAAGGCAAGCCATTTTGACCTTTATTCATTCCCAGGATATGAATTCTTGATATCAACGATTCACTTTTAGTAAGAATTGTATTTCTGAAATGTGAAGATGAAATTTCAAGAAATCAATTCAGCCTATGGTGCACTTTAAACAATGCTATTGTTTTAACTCAAATTTGGGTCAAACATAGACATACCCAGCATTTGGGTTGAATTTTTTTATTACATTTTTAACCACATTTGGGTTTGTCCATATTTGACCCAAAATTGGGTTAAACCAACCAAGCATTTTTTTAGAGTGTGACATTTAACTACACTCTAAAAAATGCTGGGTTGTTTTAACCCAATTTTGGGTCAAATATGGTCAAACTCAAACATTGGGTTAAAAATGTAATTTAAAAAAAGTAACCCATTGGCTGGGTTTGTTAAAACGAGTGTAGTGAAAATACAATTACAGATATCAAGAATTATAGTTTTTTACTTTTTTTTTTTTTTACAATAATTCATATCCTGCATAAATAAAAGTCAAAAAGGCTTGCAAAAAAATGTGTCCTGCTGTTTTGTTTAACCCTCATTCCCTCTTCATTGATCAGCAATGCAGGAGGAGGAGACGGGAGATACAGACAGCCACAATTAAAGATGGCCTCTCAGACACCACCCTCATCACCTCAGGACCTATTAAGACTCATTCTGACACCAGTATGGCTCTCTTCTACTTGATCCTTGTCATAGTTTATGATACTGATGGAACAAAATTTAAGAAGCATAAATGTAGTCAGATATGAACTCATAATTGCTTTTTCTTTCAGCTCTTACTACTAAGGAAGGAGGTAAGTCTCCGTAATCATTTACAGACGAGTGCCAGAAATTAAGTCATTTTGGTAATAACGTGCTGTCTTGTGTGTTCCTGTACAGCCCTGAGCAGTGCACAGAAGGCCAGTGGTGGGGCGTCTGTAGGACTGGGCATTGCTCTGGCTGTCCTCGTCGTTGCGGGCACCATCGCTGCCCTCATGGCCGTGTCTTTTTACCGCAAACTCAGGATGCTGCGTTAACTGGCTATAATCCCAGAGCTCTTTTCACGAAGGACAGATAAAACAGCGCTGGTGGAGGTGGATCCATAATATATTTGACTTTTTAAAAGAAAAACTGTCAGCATAGCAGACAACACAACTGCCATTAAAAATGCAAATACTGCAACCAAAAAAAAAAAGTATATTATTTAAAAATGAATTTATTCATTCATTTATTTACACTTATATACTTCAGATACAAATGTTTAATGGGGCTATATTTTAAAGCAAAATATGTACCGAATAGGCTGAAGCATTTGGTGTAATTACTGGGAGCAATTGCAAACAAGTGATTTTAAGGATAAAACTTAAATCATAATGGATCTGTGCCAAAGTTGTGGCACAATAAAGCAGGATTATTAAAGCACATGAAGGCTTTAGGATTGACATCTTTAAAAGAACAGGTGAAAGAAAACATGCTTTATATAAGGTTATCATAACTGCTGCATGAAGAGCCTCGCTTTGAGTTAGCACACTTGTATCTTATAAATGTGGAAGTGTGGTTTTGGAAAAGGGTTTACAGGCATGCTTATTTTATTTTGGATACTTCATCTTATTTAATATGGTAAAAATTCAGACAGTTGATCTTGTGGAACCTGTTTGTTTTCAAGAATCACATTGTTTCTGAATTGTATCTGTCTGAGTTTTTTTTAATTATTATTATTGCATGCAGTGTCATTAATAAAAGCTTGTAGCATTGTGAAAACAATTTTTGATGATTTCCTCTTGTGTTAACACGCAACACCACTAGAGGGAGCCTCACTATTTGGTGTAGAAAGAAGAAAACAACAACCTTCCATTGACAAAATAATGTTTTAGTCGTGTGTTGCAAAAGTGGTTTTCTTTCTGGTTATCTTAAAGACATTTTTACAAAGCAGTTTTATAGGTTCAAGCCTACCAGAACGGAGGCTTAAACGAAATAAAGTCCACGTGGTGTCTCAAAACAAGTAAGTTAGGCTATAGCCTAGGCTAGATACATGATTTTTACGTAACTTAGCCTACTAACGTACACATGCCTAGTTTACTTTATAAATATAATTTCGTTTCTGTATGGTTTCAGTAACTTTAAAAGTTATTCAAGGTTTTTATTTTCACAAGTCGTTCGTTAATAAACGCTACTAGCTAAACAGAATTAAGTCGCATTCGACTGTGAAGGGAATGGCCATCACGTAAGTTAACGGCCTAATTTGAAAATGCTGTTTGGCGATTTACTTTTCCGATTATTGTGTTAGTGAGGACAATTGTTTGATTATTGAAGTCTATGTAAGCAAAGCTCTTGTTTCAGATGAAAGCACTAGTCACATTCTGCTGTCGGCAGGCCTACTACAACCAAATCAATATTTACTGTCTGTCTGTGGTAGCCTATGAAAAAGTGTAAATTAGCTTCTGCTTGTTCATTTCATATCCCCTCAAATTAATTTTTGTGAAAATCATTTACAGAAGTGATATTAAGGATTCCTTGTTCTAATGTCAGAGCCTCTGCGTGTTAAAAATTTACATGGTGCTAAGTAAGTAGGTCATGATAAATGCACCGAAAAATGACTTCATTATATGATGATGAGGATAGTTAATACATGAGAATATAATATGAGGAGGGACAGTGGGGTGTGAGAAGTAAATACGCCAGTCCTCCATTGGGCAAAACTCTAATTAATGTGAGAGTGGGGTTTCATCAGAACAATACCTGAGAAATGGGAATCTCTGCTACAAGACAAGAGCTCTTCAGAGGATGCGGGTGTGACCCTATTAGTAAGAAAGATTAGATAATTTCAATTGCAACGCAATGTGCTAATTGCAATGCCTAAAAGTAATCTGTGAGTGGTGATTTATTGTGTCATAATGGAATTCTCTATGATGCAATTTAATGTAATGTTAAATTGCATGGCAGGGTTAAACTAATTAATGGAATAGATATATTTAAAATAGACAAGTAATGTCATTTTGGGAGATTTGCAAGAAATTACCAGACAGGAAAGGAAGCATCAAACATTTATGCACTGTACCATATCTAGACAGATGGGACGATCTGTCTCTGGAGACTGTGGGTAAAACATTAGCAGTGAATGAATCTCTCAGATACAGTGCACTGTGCAAGATTACTTTGATGTTGATATGCTTTTTTTATTTTATTTTTTCAAGATTTGATACTTAACCAAACGTAAAATTAAGGGCCAAAGCTTCAGATGGAGTCCTAAATAACAGTAAATGAAGAGTTAATATTTTCCAGCACTTTTTGCCTGAAGACATCCCACAGTTTACTTTAAGCATGTTTTTAAAAAGGATTAGTTCACTTCAAAATGAAAATTATAGTAATGGAAATCAATGAGGTAGCCTACATCAACTGTCTTCATTCTTCAAAATATCTTCCCTTGTGTTCAGCAGAAAAAAATAAATTCATACAGGTTTGAAACAACTTGGGGGTGAGTAAATTTTCATTTTGAAGTGAAATATTCCTTTAAGATGAAAAAATGGTTACCCTTTTTAAAGGTATTATAATTTTTGTGTAAATGCATTTACTGTATGTGCAGCAATCGGGACAGAAGTCTTATAAACCATTACAAATTCACCACAGTCTCGGAAATAATTTTATATTATAAGACTCTAAGATTATAAAGTTATGATGATGGCTAGATTACTAATAAAACTACTTTTTTAAATATTGCAATCACATTCTGCAGTGGAGAGAAACACTAACACTAGTGTGTAACACTAACATAATGAAAATGTTCTATCACCAATTGGTATTTACAGTGAACAACACAGAAAATTCCACAGATTTTTTTTTTTACAGATCTGACCCTTTTCGTTGGGACACCAGCAGCATGTTTTACCAGTGGAATGCTGGGCCATTTTTACACCCTCTGACCCAGATGCAAAGGAGAGTTCAGGGCTGAAGCGCCAGACTGTGGCAGCAGTAGGGGATGGGACGGTTGAGTGAGTCCTATAGCAGACCCCCTGCTGAGCACACACCAGCCCCAGTCACACGTCTCTCGACCCGCTCCAGCTGTAGAGGTACTGCTCTTCTTTCATAATTCATTACAGGGGCCGAGACACAAAGCAGGCTGCCTGGAGGCTGTGCTATGATGTAAAATGTGCTGCATTATGCATAGGATATGTTATGTTTTCTGCTTCAGACTGAGCAAAGGTCTGCCCTTTGAATCATTGAGTGATTGGGAAAGGGGCAAATGTCAATGTGTATTGTGGTGACCCGAATGATTTGTGAAAATGCTCCTCACAAATTACACACCAGGTCAGCATGATACTGTCACTACACTGAACTTCACGCAAGGAAGGACATTCTAACAAAATATGTTTGAAGACCTATTAGCTGTTGTTCCCATTAAGTTTTGAAAACAAAACTGAACATTACAAACGTACAGTTTTTTTTTTTTTAAAGAAATTTTTTTTTTCTTGCTTATGCGAACTTTAGGGGAATATTACTTTTTAACGTTTTGCAAACATTATGGGAATGTCACTGTTCTCTGAACCTGAAAAACATTAGCTAAACGTCAAACTAACACGTTTTAGTAAAAAAACTCTGAACAATCATTCTATTAATGTTACTGTAGAATGTTTGTTTCAAAACTTTGACTTTTCATTGTACAACATTTTCTTCACCGATATAGCCAATTATTCAGAATAATATCTGACTGCCAATGTTGCAATATCGGTAGTTTGAATTTTCTTAAGGAAAAAAAACCTCTCCCAAATAATGCTGTAAACTACAGGAAACCCTTGTTACATTATAATATTAGAGGTTATGAATTATATTCACCCGCTGTTTATAATCATATTACACTCAAATAATTAAAATATAATAATATTACTAGTAGGCCTAATTAGTAACCTAACCCGTTACACTAATTTGTATCAGTTGCGCTAGTTTTAATTACTTATCTTTTTATTCAAACATGCAAATTTATTCAAACATGCATAGGCCTACAGGCCCTAATTAACAGCAAATAAGCTCCTCTCCGTTGTTTTTTTTTATAGCTATAGTGACATTAACTTAAAAGCAACGTTAAGTGAAATATTGTTCACAGACAATGTTTCATTTGCAGTTGAAACACAGATTGAGTGATTACGTGATTTCGGTAAGCTGTATTGTATCTTTCAGCATAGGCTACCTTCTGTTATTCATGCAAATTTTTCAAGATATAGGTCTTGCGATCCAAACTGCTGCTTAACTGAGGCGTTACAGATCTAGAGAGTCAAAACGGCATTAATTGTTTGAATTTGGTAATAAAATATACAGATTTTTAAGGATGAGACTGTTTCTTAGCATAAGTACAAAGCTCTTTGCGATTATTAATGTTTGATGTAGGGAAAAAATGACAAACCTGGCTATCCTGGCTTCAGGGTGATAGGGTCAAATGGAGCCTGCTTTGTTAACTTGCCCTAAATTCTTCACACACAGTATGAATTGCAGGTCGACCAGTTTACACATAACTTTTTGACTTACAAGAATCAGGATATCCGGCCCTGGTCATCGGCTGTCTTTAAACAATTGACCAATGGTTAATAGTGAAAATATCGCCTATGGAGATTACTGGCATCTCTAATATGGACAAAAACAGTTGAAACATACTTTGAAATATATTCTTTTGTGATCACAGGTTTGGAACGAGGGTGAGTAAATGACGACAGATTGTCTTCAGACAAAAGTGGCCTATGTGCAGTTGGCTTCTTTTTCCTGTAAGTATACATTCTTTACATTAAATTAGTCAACCATACTTGGGGGCGTTTCTGAATTATGATGTAACTCCCTCCTTAAATACGATGCATCATAGAAGAAATCTAGCTAGTCTAGCTGTTTCCCGAAACAATATTGTTGCAAATTTGTTATTTGCACGCTGGTTAATGATGTCATGTGGGTGGTGGGGTAATAACTTCTTATAATGAATACGTTCTAAATCTAATTAGGCCTAATGCTAGATTTTTAGCTATAAATTATGGATATGGCGTCTAAGGATTTATTAATTTTTCTGTCATTTTGCTTTATTTCCAGACTGAATCCTAAACTCGTTTATACACACTGGAGCTAGAGAACTAAAAGACATAAGTTGCATTTTTATATATTTGAAATAAAAGAAATTGTCCTCGTCAGCTTGCTTATTTTGCTCAAGATAAGGGTTTATTAAGCCTACTAGTCATGCAAACAAGAAACTATGCTTCTAACTGCTCGAGAGCTGTCGTCGTTCCAACCACACTACTTTGCAATGCCATTTGTTGGAACTATAAGAGTTTGGCAAAACACAGTCTTTGAATGCTGATAACGACGGAAGTTGCAACCATAGCTAACAATGTTTACTGGGAACGCAACCCTGCATAGTTCTGAGCAGTAGCATGCAGTCATTATGAGTCACTCAACACAAGTCTTACCAGTTCACAAAGTGGCTGACACTCCTCTTTTATTTTGAGGATTGAAAGGATCTGAGCCCTTTGAGTCGGCAACATTTTCATTAAAGATTTATAGCCTCAAGAGATGCAAAGACATTTCAGTTTAGAGTACAAACACCAGTATTGTCCAGCGTTCTCCAAAAGAATATGTGCTCCATATTATAGAGTTTCTTGCAGATGTACTCCTGTTTGTTTTCACAAAGTTTTAGATACTGTACATTTTGGAAGATGAAATTGTCTGTATACGTGGACATATAAATCTATCTATAATGATCATGTTTTTAATGGACACTGTGAAAAACTACAGAGAGGGAGCATGAAAGACAGGGAGGGCTGATTGCAGTAGCCCTACACCATTTTCAACTAAAAACAAAAAGCTTTTTATGCGATTTTTTATGCGACGTTTTGGGGGTCTGGTAACTCAAACTTTTCTGTGCAAACTACAAAAATGTTGTGCATATTGTGTGTTCAGCCTACAGACAAATAGCATTTTTTTTTACAAAGTAACATCGCCAACTACTGGCGTGACAATATAGTGTTTTTTAGTAATTTTCGACTAAAATGTACAATTGTGGTGATGTCTGGGCAGGTCTTTGGCTGCAGATGTGTTTGAGGAAATTTTGATCGGTTTGAATGCTTGGAATGTGACCTTGTCTAAAAAGCTCAATGCACAGTTTTTTGTCTGAAAATTTGCCAGAGGGCTTATGAGATTCAGTCAGTGGCATAACAGTATGTCAAACAGACCTCCATAGTTCCACAACAGAGACCTGCAAAGAACTACAAATCCAACAGGACGAGACACGCCTCAGCTGAAACATCTTTCTCTAATCTTTGAAACATTTTCATGCTATTTTGTCAAAGTTATTTTGGTATTATTTATATAGTATTATATTATTTATTCATATTTTGTGGAGCTTTTTATTTTAAGATTTTCAGTTTTTCTTTTATATATATATATATATATATATATATATATATATAATGTGATTTTGTTATTTTTATATCTATATATATATATATATATATATATATATATATATATATGAAAACTGAAAATATTAAAATAAAAAGCTCCACAAAATATGAATAAATAATATAATGCTATACAAATAATATATATAAAGTATATATATATATATATATATATATATATATATATAGTATAAAGTAATTTTACCAAACAAAATAAATTATTTTATTTTATTAATATTTTATTTTATTTCAGCTTTATTTCAATTACCAAAAATGTTTTTTTTAAATAGTTTTAGTTGTTAACAATAACAGCAATGTATAATGTATTTCATCATCAGACAGTCTGCAGTCTCTCCTCTGCTATCTCAGTTTTTGTGTCACTTTATTTGAAAGCAGATTCTAGTGTAATCAAACCAGAAAAATGTACCCATTAATCTCTTATCATTTGAGTTTGTTCTGCATCTCACTAATTGAATGGGAGGAAACTTTTTGCATTCATATTTTCAAAGAAATTCTTCAACCTCCCACCATGAATAAATGCATGGCATTAAACAGGAACAACAAGCTGTTTGACAAGCTGCCTCATTGCTTGCATTTCAGACGCTCATTTCATAATGTGTTATGACTGAAGCTGGTTAATAATTCATTTCAGGCCTCTTTATCTTGGTTTTCAGTGCTTTCCATGTTCTATAATATATTTATTTTGGTAAAAAGCCCAGCCTGTCAATTACGTTTTTTGCTAGTTATATTAGCTTAGCTACACTCAGTTATCTCATCTAAATGAGATTCTCTAAATGGTTAAGCACTATTACAAAGAAATATTTGTTACAACTGATCACTCGAGGTTCTCCTGTCTAGACCTGTGATCAGTGGGCTTGTCGTCTTGTTGTGTTGGTCTTGGTTTCTGTCACTGAAAAGGCATGCTAATCAAATAAAAACAACAACAACACCCTCTGACTGATACTGCTTTACTTTATTGTTTATTTGGGCCTTGGTCTGTTTTTTGTCAGATCTTGGTTTCAGATATTGGGTCTTTGTCTGGATGTCGTCTGCCTGGTCTTGGTTTGACAGACTCCAGGATTCCAGTTATCAGAAAACCAGAGCATCTGAAAATCTCTCATATGCTTTGATGCATAATGAAAGTGATAAACGTTATCCGGGGTAAGTGTGTGGGATAAAGGAGACTGATATCTGAGTGTTTCATTAGAATGACTCAAAAATGGGTTTAGTGGCTCTGGAGAATATTATGCGATGAAAATGGGCTAAATCCTAGAATGAAAGAACAAACTCAGATATACAAAACTCCCCTCACACAATCCTTTTGAGGTTTTCTCACAAAACAAGGCTTTAAAAAAAACTTGTTTGAATGTGGAGAAGAAGCAGCAGTTCGCCATAAGCATTTTTTCAGGTGTTGGCTAAACATTGTTGTTTTGTTAAGGGATTGTGAGTTCTAACTTACTGAAAGAATAATGTTTTACTGTTTGATGGTTTTATGGTTGTTTTGTCATCACGGTTGGGTCGGTTATTTTTTGTGTGTTGATGTTCATTGCTCATATTTTTTGTTTTATTATATATACAACATCTTCATGTTGTAAAAAGCATTTTCTCACGGGCAAACAAATGTTTTATATTGGTAATGTTAAAGGGATAATTAATTTTTGGTATGTTTCAACTTACCTCAAGGTATCTTTGTTTCTTCAGTTGTTTCAATTTTGATATTTTTAGGTCAAACCGTTCGTGTCTGTCATATAATAGAGGTCTATGGTCACCACCTCAAAGAGCATGCACAGAGAAATCCAAATTAAACATGATTTAATTACTCGTAAATGTAAGTACAAATTGATGGTCCAAGACACGAAACGAGCAGTTTGTGTGAGAAAACTAACAGTATTTATATCGTTTTTACCGCTTATTATTACCTATTAGCTATTTTTGTTTCAATGTATATAGCTAAACATTTGACTTCTGTGTAGCACTTTAACTGTATATATTTTGAGTTTAATTTATTTAAGGTATTTAATACAGTGTGTGTAAAAGGTTAGTATAGTGTGAAATATGATATATTTTGCAGTTTAAGGTTAATGTTATGACTAGGCAAGATTATACTGTAGAATGATGTCTTTAAAGTATCAGAACATCAAAGGTTCATTCGGTCTGCCTTAGGTCCTTTTAGAAGTCATTAAATATTTACATGCCCATACCATCATAATCCTCTCATAAACGTTCTCATATATTACCTCACCACAAAAAAACAATTAAAACTAAAATTCTTTGCCCTTTAGAATTTTACAAAAGAATTGCAAGCTGTTTTATGTCACATTAAATCGTTAAACCTTTTTTAAAATGCTAAATAAATGAGAAGACTGAAAAGGAAAACACCTCATAATTGTAGTGCAAGTGAAGGTACAATAAAAAGCCTTTCTCCATTGGAAATGTTATAATGGCACAGTTTGATATGCCACAATCTATATAACAAAGAAAGGAGGAAAAAGAACCCTGGGGGGAAGTGAGGCTATAAACTCATATAGAGCATGAGAGGGCGGGGACTCTTAACCGACACTCTGTGTTAATGGACGCTTTGCATTTGTCGGGTCATGCAGGAGCTCTCACAAATTATGAGATGGTCTCCAACCATTACGGACCACGAATTGATTGATTCCTGTAAGGCTTGCATTAGGAAGCTTAAATTACTTAAGTTACTGAAAAGGGCACACATGCAACAATTACTCCATTGCTTTCCTTATGCGTATCAATACTGTAAAATTCACATACTGCGTATGATTTTTTTAACACATTCATGTATTTGTTTTATACTATAGAGCCATGAACACTCTGACCCGACAGGTTTCCTCATTCCATGCTTAAATGTTATACGCAATCTGTTGAATGTGTATGCAGGAGACAAAGCAAAGCATGAGGCTGTGAGTCGTTCTCGCTGCGACTGGAATATCTTCTAAAGATGACCCAAGGCTGCGGGCTCTAATCTCTGAGATGCGTGCATCACCTGGACCAGGTCTTGTGCTAGATCCGTCCCTCAGAGCACAAAGGCAAGAAATAAAAACAGTATGTTTAACAGCTTACAGCACCAGCGGCGGCAGGTAATGTCATGAAACTGTCATGATAATGAACCTGAGCATTTTTCATCTCTTTGAAATAATGTGACTATTTTAAGCCCTTCAAATCTTCAAACCACATCACAAAAAGGAGAAAAAAGAGAAAACCAAAACTCCCTGCCCCAAAGTAAGTATCAAAATGATGGGTAAGTAACCTGTTATTTTCCTATTTATGCCTTTATACTCTTTTTGTGTTTGTTTTAACAGGTCTCTGCCTCAAAGGTCTGAAAGATTATCTGATTATAAAGGTTCAGTTGAAAATGATCTGTTTCACTTTTTTTCAGGGCTGGTGAGGTCATTTTCTTTTTACGCATGGATGATGTAATGAATGATCATTCTGGTTACACACAAAAAACGTCAAGTTAAATGTCCATTTCATTATGAACAAGCTCATAAACAGGGTTGTGAAAGTTCGAAATAAATAAAGAAATTATAGGCTATAATGAAATATAAATAATAAAAGATAAAGATGAAATATAAAAACAAAAATAATATGTGTTAGCATAGAACCACTACGTCATAATGATATGTGGGACAAGATAAAAAATGTAATAAATAAATTCTATTCATAATAAAATTACTAATTACCAGTGAGAGTTACTATTGAAGCAAATGCAAAGTAAAGACCAAGCCAATCTGGTATGTTCTCACTGCCGAGCCCAGTCAGATGAACTAATGAAGCATTCATGCATTTGAGTTTGGCTATTGACTGACACTGAGCAGGTCATTAAGGGCACCAACACCTCCCACAGACCTGTAGATTACATCAGGGTCAAAATGTCATCCTCCACTCTCAGCCCCCACCCTCCATTACATTCAATGATACATACATATAATGAGGCTCTGCTGCTTAGAGACTCTCATTCACACTCTCTGTCCCTTTGAGCATATTGGAGGACACCTTCTCTCTCTCACACTTATAATTGCAGACAATCCTATGTGAAGCGCACACATGTTTTGGGGCCCCTGATTGTTCTTGGTTTGTACTAATTTGAGGCTACAGCAACATCTGCTGAATGCATGCAATAAACAAAAAAACATTATAAACAAGAAATTACATCTCTTAGCAAGGGGTTCACCACTATAATAACACTATAAAAACCCACTAAAACAAATTTAAGAGAGCCTAAATACTGTGCCATGTATATGAACTCTCTCTGAACTGTCATAGGGTCTCGTCTGAGAGTGAGAATCGTCATGGTTTGGCTTTGTTCCTCGTGCATTCAGTCTCGTATCTATCAGGCAGACCATTAGGAGGTGTGAGGTAGTACAATACAAACTGAATGAAATGAGAGAAACCCCACCCTGCATGCCCACCTGCCACTGAGATATGTGTGTGTGTGTGTGTGTGTGTGTGTGTGTGTGTGTGTGTGTGAGAGAGAGAGAGAGAGAGAGAGAGACGGGGGATTTCAGCTAATATTGGGGCAATAAAATGCAAAGGAGGAGAAAAAAAGTGGTTTAGGGGCTAACAGGGAGGGGTAGATAATGAGAGAGAGAGACAAAAAAGAAAAATGCAAATGATTCTTGGTTTACCAGGTTCAGTCAGGCTTTGAAGGGGATTCTTTAAAGGCTCTTTCACTCCCGGTTTAACCTGTTTGACTGATTTTATGTATTGCACATAATTTCATTAACGAAATAACTTTAGCATACATAGCTAATATTATTATACTACTGCAACCTTGTGGTCACACAGCTGGGATGTCTAAAATGTATGTCAACGCACGACAAATTAAAAGTAGCTGCGTGTGGGAAGAAAATTGCAGAAGTGGCCAGTGGGATGGCAAATCATGCGCTTCAGGCCATTTAGGTCTGATTTATTGTGATTTTTAGTATTTTAAATAGGTTTGTAATCATTCCTTAACTTTAAGTCCTAAGCATTCCCATAAGAAAGGATATAAAAAGAAATAGTGCATCATATTGTCTTCCATCCATCACAGCCTGTTTTGATGTCGCCAAATCAAACATTACGAAAATAATACTATAGTAATAAGAGGCTAGCCTAAAGAAGAACTGCATAAGATAACAGGACAAGATAAGAGATGTGTCATAAAGTGCTTTTTAGTAGGTTAAATTAGTTTATGTACACAGTTCAGGGGAGGAGCTTGAGAACAGACCTATAACCGCCCATCTCACAGTCTCAACAGATGAGACACGTGGGGAGCAACCTCAAAGTTTGAATTTTACTGACGTAGTCTACGCTGTCTATACTGTACTGTAGTTTCCACATCTTTATCCAGCAGGTACGCTGTAACGCAAGGATATTATTTCTCAAGATTAAGTGCAACACAGTTCCAGACTACCGAAAGATGCACTCTACCGGCTTGTTAACGTGTCTGCTCACCGTATGCTTGATAAATCAAGGTAATTTATTTTTTTTAATATATTTATTTAATTACATTTTTGAACGTACGCAAACGTCATTTTAGACGAGATGGACAAGTGAAAGGACTAATCAGTTTTACTTTTAAGAGTATTTGTAAGAGCTTAGAGAATGATCTCACCACGTTATTAAATTAGCCAAGAGAAAAACGTGCGCGTCGGTTTCACTTGGAATTCTTTCCAAAGCTTTGATGAAACTATTATTTACTACCTTTATCAGAAACATATTAAATAATTTCTATGGTGTTCTCGTATAAAAGTAACATTATTTTGTTACACGCTGTTTGCCCCCGCCCCCACCTTTTGCTACCCTTTTGCTCGCACCTGTTTCGCTTGTGGAAAAAACGGATATTACGCGGTGCAAGTCAAATCTTTATGCGTCGGTAGTTAAAATCCGTTAATAATTAATTTAAGCCTATAAGTGTGCCTGTGTATGTGTGTCTCATACATCCATTTTTGTGTGTCTCTCTGTGTTTAAATGCTGAGGCGCTGGTTTTCATTGCTTATGTTGTCGTATAGTGCAGCAGTAGCATATGCAGGTAATGAAATAAAGAACACAAAACAAAGGCTCGTCAACATCTGTTGTTGTTAAGCACCAGTACGTCTGTCAGTGCAACTTTAGAGGCTCCTTCGCCTTTTGGGGTTGAAACCAAAATCATAATGATAGTGTCATGTGCTGAAAGATTGTTGGGTTGGAAGACAAACCTAATAACGTTGAGTAAGTTGTGGCGGTTTTGTCCTTAGTTGAGAGGGGGGGGGGGGGGGGGGGGGTACTCGATAAGTTGGACTTTACTAATTAATAAGAGTGGTAAATTCTACTTCTAATGCAATTAGTTGTTAAACAGATTCTTACTAATTTTTTACCTAAAGGAACATTTTTCAAGATTTGGTCATGTGCCTGTTTGAGTCATTCTTAGTAGTCAGTGTTATTTTATTCCCCCTGACTGCTGAGTTTACAACCAGTAGTTTTAGTGCAGAATCTGTTTTTTGTTCTCTCTCTCTCTCTCTCTCTCTCTCTCTCTCTCTCTCTCTCTCTCTCTCTCTCTCTCTCTCTCTCTCTCTCTCTCTCTCTCTCTCTCTCTCTCTCTCTCTCTCTCTCTCACCCCTCCCCCACAACCCCCCTCAAAACACACCATCTGCAATGTCACACCCTGTTTCTAGTTTAGCTGGTGGGTTTGATGCAAAATGTTACCTTTTTCTAAGAAATCTTCCCTTCAGTGATAAACTTTAAAGACGAATATTGTTGTAAATGCAGTACTGAAGTCTTTTTTTTGTGGTGAGAAATTGCCTTCAAGCAACTTTGCTCTTTTGTATTGCTGAACTAATTTGCATATTCTCATTATCTTTATGGGCATATGTTAAATGGAAGTTTAATTCCAATTATGATTTCAGTAAATCTAGACTATAAATAATTTTATTTCTATAATAATATGAGACTTTTAGAATCTTTTATTCAAAGGTGAATCATCCACAGAGTTACCCGTCTGCAATATTGTGCCATTTTATTGTCCAATTATAAAAGAAAGCAAATAAAGTGCAACAAAGGGCTGTTTACTTTGTTTAGAGGTCCTCTGTGCAATTTATTGGGCTCGTCCATTCATACATTTATTAATATGCTTCCCTCAGTGAAAGTACTACTGTGGAAATACTATTGTCATCTTCTAGCTTGTGTTCCTCTCTTCTTTACTGCAGAAGTACCTCTTTTTCATTGTGGCCTTCATAGAAACCAGTTTATCTGTCATCAGGCAAGACAAGGGAGCAATTGTCTAGTCAAAAGAGAGGAGACCCATTGTTTTATAACAGGATAGGCGTGTGTGTGCTTAACAGTGGCACTCTTGACTTGCAGAAATGCGTCCATTGAGATGCATGAAGTCCCCCATGGTTCTCTGTAACCTCCAGTGCACTTTCTTGGATCTACCCTGCATTTCGGGACAAAAAGTCAGGTTGTTTCACTCTTGTTATTCGGCTTCGCCAAGACCTCCTTCGAACCCATGCTGACTATATTGTTTGGCAGGTTTTTTGCCAAACTAATACGTGTACGATTGTGACATCTCCCATAGACTCTTCTCCATTTGTAATTAAATTCAACTGTATACTCCCCACCGAGAAGCCGTTATCTCACCCAGCTCCTTTACATGCACTTCTTTTGAAAAAGACATTGGGTTACCATATGAATTACTGCAGTGCATACTTCTGTTCTCTTCATGCGTTTCAAAAGGACAACTGAGACTGAAGTATTAAATTGTATGTATTAGATGTGTGTTAAAGGGGTAGTTCACCCAAAAAGGAAAATCGTTATCATTTACTCACCCTCAAGTTTTTCCCAAACCTTTATGAGTTTCTTTCTTCCGCTGGACACAAAAGTAGATGTTTTAAGTAATGTTGGTAACCACACAGTTGATGGCACTCATTGACTTTTTTTTCCTACTATGGAAGTCAATGGACACCAATCAACTCTTTGACAACCAACATTCTTTAAAATATCTTCATTTGTGTTCAACAGAAGAAAGAAACTCATACATGTTTGGTTTGGAACAACATGAGGGTGAGTAAACGATGACAATTTTCATTTTTGGGAGAACTATCCCTTTAACCCTATTGAGGTCGAGGCTCGAGGCAAATGTATTTGGTTTGCAAATACTCGTGTCTGTCTTTAACCTGAATGCTTCTAATATTTTTGACTTCAGGTAATTTTGTAAGATAACTTTTTTGTGCAGTGTTTTCACAGTAGAATCTGAGAGGAAGAATCTGTACTTTATATGTTCAATTGAGAGCTCTTAATCCTGCACTGTTTGCACTGGGATTCAGGAAATGAAACCACCATTACAATAAAGCCGCCTTCCCCGCCTTCTCCCCCCTCTGTCTCTCTCTTTATCTCGGGTAAGGTGAAGCCAGAAGCAGAATTCAAAATAAATTTTACTCCTGTCCTGCCCCTTCACTTCTGTTTCCTCATGCATCAGTTTCCTTCTTAAGAACCCCCTTTAGGCATAACCTGACAGAATATTTCAGTCGTTTTAAAATTTTTACTTTTATTTGCATACTGCAGAAGAGCTGTCATAATCTCATTGGTATCCACCACATGATCTGTCTTTTTGTGGTTGCATTTCTCACCAGTGCTGTCAGGGTTAAATAAATGCAATGATTGATATAGTTTGATTGATACTACTGTAGATAGCTTAAATGGAAAAATATGGCCAATAATCAGTTAATCCTTCAGTAGTTTTTAAAAACAATACTATGATTAAAAACTTTGCCCTTAATGAACCTAACATTGACTTAACAATGAGAATGCTTTGTATTTATTAAATATATGCTACTGACACGTGGATTATTTTAGTGTTGTATGAAATGTATAAATAATTTGCAGTGAAAAGAGAGGGAAAAACGAGACAATCACAAATATTGCTAATATTCTGAAGCTCAGGTAGCATTTTTTTTGGGGGGGTCTATGTTTGGTTAACTGATCTGAAACACAGCTAGCTGTGCTGGTTAATCTTTAAAGGTGTGGTCACATTTACCATTGTTTGGTCCATTTTCGAAGGCAAAATCCAATAATTTCCATGCAATCAGGAATTTTGCGTGCAGGGGAAAGGTTTTCCCTCATAGATTTTGCAACTCGTTCAAGTTTGTCTCACCAATTAACCTTGTTGACCAATAGAAAGCTGCTTGCCTGTGTGATTCCTGTGTTAGCTGTGCTTAATATTGCTATGCTTTTGATATTTGACCTGTTTTCTTATTAAAATTCACTGACATTTTGCTAATGTGACCACGCCTTAACTTATATCAGTCGACTTATTGTGACTTATTGTGGTCAGATCAAGTTTGCTACTATATTAAAATCACAGAAATCTTAGCAGGAGCCCTGAGAAGATCCTACCTCAATAAAATAGGGGGTAAACACAGGTTTTTAGAGCTGCTTTAAACGACATTGGTCTTTGTTTTGCAGCAGTAGAATGTTGGCTTAGTATATTAAACCATGATCAGCTAGCCTAGTGATGTCATAGATGCATGTTTTAGTGGTTAGCCAAAGTGCGGGTCTTGTTTTAGCTTCCTTAGCTGAATGTTTTGATGGTTGGTGGTCTTCAATAATGAACCTTACCCCAGCTCATTTACCTCGCGTATAAAAATACTATGATTTTTTAATATACTTTGGGTTAGCTGTCTCCTGAAGTCTAACACCAGAATTTGACATCCTGTATAAAAACCGACATATGTCAAGTATTTACAAGGTTTATGTTTACATTCACAAATGTGATGTTGAGTTCTTCTAGAAAACAGAGTACAACTTTATTTAGCATGTTGTTGCATAGAAAGTTTCTGTTTGTCAAATTCAGTGATCGCCTGCCCTTAACATTTATGGCCCTTCTCATCTGTGCGATTGACCTGTTTCTTATCAAGCTGGCAATTTGAATACTGATACAGTCAGAGAGTCATTACAGGGTGGGATGATGATGATTTTTAAAACATTGTTTTACATTCCCGCCTAAGCTGCTTTAATGATTCATGATTCCAGTAAATGATTCACTGGTCCATGTTATTCAAAATAATAAGACTGTTTGTCTTAACTTTAAATAAAATGTAACTAACTTGCTCTTCCACTGAAACGACTTTGCATTTCCGCTGATGTCACAGATTTTGTGGCCTGTTGAAAATATTCATCCAATTAAGATTCTGGTTCCTGAATCTCAGCACTTTCTGATTCCTGAATCTGAGCAGAATCCGATTTATTATCATGGATCTAAACCGATTTGATCAATCATATTACGGAAGTAAAGCTGGTTGCAGAAAGCAATCACATTGAATTTAAAAACAAACATCTTTCAGTTCAGAAGTCGCCATTTAATGATGACCCACTATAATGTGGTGAGGATTAGTGCATACTGAGGCAGACGCTTCAATTGTTTCTTTGGAAATGTTTCCTTCAGCACTTTTGGCCTCTTTCCAATAATCCTTTGAAATTATAACTTTGAAGTTTTTTTTTT